CGGGTCAAGTCGTCGGGCCGCGCGGTAAGGAGTAAGACCACGTGGCGATATGTTATTGGCGGCCGAACGTACCTCTACGTCAGGTCAGAGGACGTAATAATTGTTCTCATTACAGACACCAGAATAAGGTGTGGCCAAAGCCATGAATAAGCTACCATCTTGAGAAATCCATGAATGTTAACTTTCCAGACAGGGAATGCAAACAAACGCATCAGAACCTCCGGAACATGCGACGTTCAAACATTCGGCTAGATGGGCACTCATAGGACATATGGCCTCGCCCCCCGCATGTGTTGCAGGTGACAGTTGCTGCGCAGTCGCGGCTGATGTGTCCGAGCTGATTACACATTCGACACACAATATCGCGGAAGGGTCCTCCTTGGATCTCAGATGCCAGGCTAGACTTTGGGCACCGACGGGCAACATGGCCGGATACATTGCAGAGATTGCATACTGGATCATTGCGACACTCTCTAGCAAGGTGGCCGGCTTTGCGGCAATTGTTGCAGGCCTTCTCATTGCTGCAATCTGCAGCAATGTGGCCTGGCCTGTGACAATTGTTGCAGAGCCGAGTCTCGGAGACTGATAAACCAGAATCAGTGCAGTCTCGAGCCAGATGCCCACTTTTGTTACAATTATGACAGACAGCCTGGTTGCTGCATTCGCTAGCAATATGCCCAGCTTCCTTGCAGTTCCAACAGATGGTTTTAGCAGTGCACTCAGCTGCAATGTGGCTTTTAGCATAGCACAATACAAGAGAATATTAGTAAATTGAGGCTCAACCAGTCGTGCAATTAAAGCAAGAATAAAAACAATAGAAATAGCGTAAGATATGTGTTTTGAATGAAGTAATTTAACAGCTCAAAATGCTATTAAAAGCAGGATTAATTATTCTGTGTAAGGCCCGAACGGCATCCGGAGACAAATTAGAGCGTACCACATCATTTTTTTACTGTGTACTGGGTGACGTGGCGCGCTCTTATTTGTCTCCGGACAATCCGGTGTCCGCACAGAATAATTTCTCGAAAAGCAGACAAGCCTTCAGGAACTTGAGTCTGGACAGTTACATCAAGTCAATCAGATTATAACCTATGATGCACAGACACGGACACGGCGACACAGATACGACACGACACGACACGAACACGGGACACGT